AAACAGTTATTCAACAAATGTTTTATGTCTAGGATTTAAAAAAAAAAAGGCAAAACTAATATTAAAAAATGTTTTACTATTTTCTTATGCTTAAGATCATAGAAAAAAGGACACTTTCTATCAAATAAATACTATTATATTTTTCTTACAATTATCTTTTATTTAGGATTTTAGAAAAGGATAATTAGTATTAAATAAATTATCGTTCAATTTTTTTTTCCTTTAATATTTGTTAAAAATAAAACAAAAATTAAACACACTTTATTTTTTTACTGTTAAATAATGTTAAATTTATTTTTTTCAAAATCATTTTTAATATCTTAAATATTTTTTTACGGTTTGTAAAAAGAAAACTAAAATTAAACTCTATTTAATATTTTACTGTTAAATAATTTTTAAATTTCAGTATTCGTTTTTAATTATCTTAGTGTGTATATATATAATCATTAGACATTTTAATACATGTCACAATATTAACACGAAGATACTATCAAATAGTTTTTTTTGCTTGCAAATATCTGTTGTTTGCTTAGGATTGTAAGAAGGAAAATACAATTAAACTCTCTCCGCTTATTTTTTACTGCTAAATAATTTTTAAAATCCTGTTTTCAAAATTTGTTTTTATTATGTGAAATATTTTTTTTAGGAATAAAATGTAAAACTAGAATTAAACACTACTTACTTTTTTGCTGTTAAAAATTTTCTAAAAGATTTTTTATTATCTTAGTATCTATATTTTTAATCATGAAATATTTTAATATATGCCACAATATTAAAAGGAAATTACTATCGAATAATTTTGTGAATTTATCTTTTGTTTAGGATTTTAAAAATGGATAATTACTATTAAATAATATTTATAATTACTTTTTAATAAACTAATATTTAATATTATCTAAATACATTTTTTTTAATTATGAGATAGTTTAATATATATCACAATCTTATACAATCATTTTAACAAAAAAAAAGTATACAGCCTCTTAGAGCGTTGAACAAAGATCACTATGGAGATCTTCCAGGCAGAACTAAGCAAGCTTATGAGAAGTTATGTACGTTTCAAAAAAGAGTGTTGCTTGATCCTAGTTCCAGTAATGTTGCGCAGCTGAAGAACGATGAAGCAAATTGGTCCGTATTGAAGAGAAATTCTATCGACAAAAGTCTTGTGTCCGATGGCTTGGTGCAGGAGATCACAATACAAAGTTCTTTCACTCCATGGTTTAAACCCTGGCTGCTATAAATATGATTAGGAGCTTGGTAAATGGCCAAGGTGAGGTGTTTACGTTGCAGCAGGATATCAAAAATGAAGCAGTCTCTTACTTTCAAAACTTCTTGCAAAGCCAGGATCATACAACTGAAGATATCTCAGTCGATTCTTTGCAGAGTCTACTGACGTATAGATGTTCCAATGCAGAGGCAGCAGTACTCGTTGGACCTGTTACGCCCCAGGAGATACTGCAGGCTGTTCACGCCCTTCCGAATGATAAGGTTTCTGGACCTGATGGATTTATAAAGGAATTCTATATAGCAGCTTGGCCGGTTATTGGGAGAGAGTTCATTGTAGCAGTCCAGTTCTTCCTTTTTGGTTTCATGCCAACTGGAGTTAATGCCACCATCCTAACCCTCATACTTAAGACAACCACCGCCCAGACAATGACGGATTACCGACCTATAGCTTGCTGCAATTTCATTTACAAGGTGATATCAAAGGTCCTAGCTAATCGCTTGAAAGTTATTTTCCCTGAAGCAGTGGAGGCTAATCAGTGTGCTTTCATTACGGAACGGTTGCTTTTGGAGAATTTTTTATTAACATCAGAACTTGTGAATGGCTATCACAAGGCAGGGAATCGAGACAGGTGTCCCATTAAGTTTGATATTTCCAAAGCTTTTGATACAGTGAAGTGGTCCTTTATTACCTCTGTCTTGCAAGCTATGGGGCTACCAGCACAATTTGTCTAATGGATTAGGCTCTGTATCCCAACTGCGGGTTTTTTGGTATCAGTAAACGGAAGTTTGGAAGGGTTTTTTACTAGTGCCAGTGGCATCAGACAAGGATGTTCGCTGTCTCCTTATATGTATGTCATTTTAAATAACGTCCTCTCGAAGCTCTTAAATAAAGCAGAAGAAGATGGTGAATTTGGCTATCACCCTCAGTGTAAGGAAGTTAAGCTTACCCATCTAAGTTTTGCAGACGATATCTTGATCTTCACAAATGGTACTCGGTAATCACTCTTGGGAGTCATTGAGGTCATGAAAAGGTTTGCGCGGATGTCAGGACTCCACATCAATGCTGCAAAATCATCACTCTTTGCCTCAGGTACTAATATAAGCGATCTTATATCCACGGCGGAGTGTCTGAGTATAGGAGTTGGCACACTACCTATTCGATATCTATCTGAGCGCCAGATCTCTTACCATTCAAGATTATGAGTCTCTAATAGACAAGATAAGAGGTAGAATTTTGTGCTGGTCCAATAAAGCATTATCATTTGCAGGAAGACTTCAGCTTATTCAGCCAGTCATCTCCAGCACATTCAACTTCTGGAGTTCAGATTTTATTTTGCAAGCGAAGTGTTTAGACACTATTCGAAAGTATGTGTAGTGCTTTTCTTTGGTCAGGCTCACCTACTCAAAATCATAATGATAAAGTTAGTTGGGAGGATCTAACCTATCTGAAGGACGAGGGTGGTCTTGGTGTAAGGAAATTAAGAGAAACAACAAGGGCTTTCGCCATGAAGCTTCTATGGCGATTGTTTACCCAACAATCATCACTGTGGGTCAGTTGGGTACAACACTATCTGCTCAAGTATAATTCTTTTTAGGATGTGAGAGATGATACGAAAGGATCGTGGATATGGAGAAAACTAATAAAGCTTCGAGATGTAGCTTATCAGTTTTTTAAAATGGAGGTCAAGGACGGAAAGAATTGTCATTTTTGGTTTGATGATTGGACAAGGTTGGGACGCCTGATAGACATAACGGGTGCTGCTGGAACTATATTCCTGGGTGTGCAAAGGCATGCTAAGGTATGTGACGCAGTAGCAGAGGATGGATGGAGAATAAGGGGACAGCGAAGCAGGCGATACAATGATCTACATAACATCATCATGGCAACAGAAACTCCTAATCCTACGAATGGGAGGGATATTATTCTATGGAGGCATGATGTAGACGAGTACATACTAGAATTTTCTGCATCAAAGACATGGGAGCAGTTAAGAGCAAAGCGAAACAATGTGGAGTGGAGCAGAATTGTGTGGTTTCCTCAAGGAGTACCTAGCTTCTCCTTCACATTATGGCTTGCTATCCACAATAGGCTCTCAACGGGTGATAGAATGAGACAATGGTGGATAACTCAAGGTTGTGAACTGTGTGGAGAGAGAGATGAGACAAGAGATCATCTCTTCTATGTTTGCCACTATTCCTATACGGTACGGAAAGCCTTACAAAAGGACTTGTAGGTAATGGTATCAACCCGGATTGGCAATGGACGATGCAGCAATTGAAAGGAAAGGGGGAAAAGGGAATCGATTCTTGTCTCTCGAGGTTATTGTTCTAGACGGTCATACACCACATTTGGAGGGAGCGCAATTGAAAGAGACATCAAAGAGGCAGAACATCAATGGATCAAATGCAAAGACTCATTGATAAGGCCATGAGAAATAGGATAAGCTCTTTGAAGTACCGATCATATCACAAGATGGGTGGTTTGTTGCAGCGATGGTTTCAAGTCACAATGTAGACACTGTTTTGTTTTCGTATTTTTATACTATAGAGCTCTTCAAAGTAGAAGATTGATCGATTTGTAAATAACATTATTTTCTTGATAGATTAATAAATTTGAAATTTTATAAAAAAAAAGAAGTATACATTAGTATCAGTCTCAGAATGGATTTTTTTCCTTCATATAAACCACCCCTTTTCGCTTTTTCTCTCTCTTAATCTTCTGCCTTCTCTCTACAAAGAAAAACCAGATCTGAGATTTGTGATTTGGCTCCGGTGGCTTTCATAGCACCGGAGCCGAGTACTTTTTGTGTTTTCAAGCTTGTGGGTCTCTGGCGATGTTTTCTCTCTCGTCTCTGGTTGGATTGGCGTTGCAGTATCTCCATCATCTCACCTCTTTGTCCCGGAAGTTTCAGATCGGTAACCGGTTCGGGTATTGAGTTTATGGCGATTTGGTGTGCTGTTGTTACCCTCTTGTTTGGAATCCTTGACTCAGAGGCTGTACCGGATTCGTTTCTCCATTTGTTTCTTTTGTATGAACTTAATAATGTCTAAGGTTCATAAAGTAAAGCGGATGTGATTTGGATTGGATGGCACTCATGGCTTTGCTGGCTTGTTTGACATTTAAGGCTAGGACAAGGGTGAAGTGAGAAGTTCAATTTCATTTCCTAAGCGTCTATGGTTTGATCTGGTTTATCTTCTTGTTTGATTTGATTTCTAGCTTGACTTTTCCTTTGGCGAGAGTTTATGTTCTTTGTTATGTATGTGTTGTATTTCATTTGTCTCCCATGTGTGAGCTTTTGGCTCCGAGGACTATAGGTTGTCCGTCGACTTATGATCTTTGTGGTTGTGATCTTTGTGGTTGTGCTCCAACTATGTATTCCTCCTGGTTAAATCAATATAATTCAGATGACAAAAAAAAAAAAAATATCAGTGTCAGATGGACGTCAGGCGGTGCTATATTAAATAATTCTTTTTCATTTATTCAGAATAGTGACCAGATCATATAAAAATGAGACACCCTGACGTGAGTTGGGCATGAATAGACTCCAGCTTACTTTAGCATAATTTAATCGACTAATCGTTGACACAACCTTTTAGTAATGAAGGGTCCCATCCTAGCTGTCAATATGGAATAACCTCATTGGGTCACCTACTTTTTGGTCTAACAGGGACTTCCATATGCATTTCGTACTTTCACAGGAAAGCAACAAACCTGTTTCACCTAATAATTACAAAATTCTAAATAATGGCCTCAGAGTTCAAAAGAGTTAGGACAACACACAACTTTTGCAAGTCAAACTGTAACTCTCAAACTAACACAGATGTTCTTTAAACAGTGACAAACAACAGATAAGGTATCAAAATGTGTTGTACAAGATGAAACCAAGATTCTCATATAGTGTACAATAAAACTATAAATTCAAACTCGAGCAAGAGACGCAGAGATTTCATCGTTTGACGACAATCAGGGAATGCAATAAAAGAGACACGAGATCGAAGGTGAAAGACGAGTCATCTACACATATATGACACTGAGAAAGCAAAATAACAAAAAATAATGAATCATCAGTACGGATTGTTGTAGTAATACCCCGCTGGGGGGGCTCCCATCCCGTAGACAGGTGGCATTCCCCCTGGAACTGGACCGGTGTTCATCTTCGCCAAACTAACTTGACCTCTCATCCCTTCACGCTGGTACTGCTGCCATAGCTGCTGCTCTTGACTCAACAGATGCTGCTTCTTCTCCATCTCAGCCATTTGCACGTACGAAGGTGGTGGAATGGTTAGTGATGCAGCGAACGGGTCTTGGTTCACCTTCTCCACGGTTCCATCTGGTGCAGGTAAGGCCAATACTTGGGTGTTGGTTTTACCCAGTAAAGGTAAAGCCACGCTGCTCGCGCTTCCACCAGTTAACTGTGAAGTGCTCACGTGCTGTCTAACCACTCCCTGATCGTACATTCCGTTGAGTAGCAACGAATCAAACCCACCGCCTAAAGCGGCTTTCTGCTTCTCTAAGTTGCTAGCTGTTTCAACCAATGCCAGTTCCCAATCAGCTTTCCCTGGCTCTGCCGCAGGATTCTGCCAAGCGGAAGTCACTCCATCAGAAGGGAAAGCTTCCCATTTCCCATTACTTCCCGGTGGACCGGCAAATAGTGCAAGCGCAAACTTGTTCCCTTGGTCATCACCAGTGACTTCATCTTCCCTTAAGTTAACTAAATCATCAGTGTATTGTGGTTTTGCTGGCTCAGGCTCAGGGGGAGAAGGAGGAGTGTAATTCTCAGGAGGAGGTAACGCTTTGATCTCATTCATATCAGGTTCAGGCTCCTCTTCTTGAGCGACCTGTGGAGGAGGAGCTTCAATCTCTTTCCTCTCAGGACTCTCCCCTCTCTTTGCTCTATCTCTCACAAACTCTTCCAACGTTTCCAACAACTTACTCGTGATCCTCTGAACTTCGGGATACTCAGAGGATCTCGCCACACCCGTTTCCTTACACCAACTATAAAACGCAATAAGCTCATCAATCTGTTTAGCCGCACTAGCGTAAGCATCAAAGGCCTTGACACAATCCGTATACTCCATATCGAAAAACTTATCAAGCAAAACAGCTAAAACCTCGCAGATATCAGCGTAAGTCTTAAAACTCTCCCTCACAACGGGATACAACGCGATCAATATCATCCTACTGTTCTTAGCTAATCCAGTAGGTCTCAAGTTCAAGAACCGATCAAGCAACCTCTGTAAATGACCCATCTTCACCAAAATCCTCTCCGGCGTCATTTCCGGTAACGGAGTAGCAGCTTTCTTCTCATCTCTTCTTCCTCCTCCCATCTCAGTCACATCTCCGTAAGACCTAGATCTCCTCGACACACCACCATTGTCATAATCGTAAGACCTGGGAGGGGGAGATCGAAAGTCATCTCTTCCTCTACCGTATCGATCATCACCATTGCTATGATGGCTACTACTCCCACCACCACCAACACTCTTCTTCTCGAACAAAGCTAACTCAAGCCTCTGGTCCAAATAACAAGCATAAGTCCTAACAAAAGCCGAGTGATCCCACGAGCTCGAATGCGCCTCGTCGCGGAAGTCAGACATGTTGAGCATCCTCGTACCTCGTCTTCTCGTCGAGTAGAGAATCTCTTCTTGGAAAAGAGGGTCTCCTTCGTTGAGGAGGCGGTGAACGAGCATCAGGGCCTTGAGAGCGACCACCCAATCGCGCGTTTTCCCAAGTCTTCGTGAAACCGAGGTAACGCAGGCGAGGATGTAGCCGCGGGAGAGAGAAGTCAGGTTTAGGATCTGGCGGATGTATTTCTCGCTGGCAGGATCGTCGTCGTGGCTTGTGGCTTTCACGATGGCTACTTCTAGATCTGGAGCCATGTTGCTTGCTACCTTTGCGATCCCGATGCTCGTTTGGTCTTTAACCGCTCCGATTGCTTTCCTCATACTCGGCGCCATCTTTTAAAAAAAAAAAATGAAGAATTCGAAAGTTTTATGATTTTTTCACATATTTGTATCCAACGGGAAACACATATTTGAATAGTGAAGCTATTTCTAGAACTTACCGTTGGGAGATTTTTTCGCTAAATTCACGGAGGATGATTCTTCGGAGTCTGAAACGGTGTCGAATTGATTGGAGATTTGTGGTTTGGTTTTCGGGATCTTTAGATCGGGGAAAAAAGATGATCTCGAAAACGAAATTTGGCGATGTGAGATTCGAGCGAAGGGAGTAGACAAAGGTGGTGGTGTCTGAAGAGAGAGAAAGAGGTGGATTTAACACGAGAGTTGGAGTCCGTGATGACGCGGAGACAACAGAGCCGTTGATCTGGAGAGACAGATGCGATTTCTTTTATTCACCGGCACTGTGGGAGCTATGTGCTTGTCGGAAAGTAAATATGTTATTTGCCTAATTAACAAGTTAATTTTTGTTAAAATTCCGTAAACAAACGCTAACTAAATTTCGTAAACTTTTTAATACCCAATTTTATTTTCCTGATTAAAAGTTATTTTTGTTAAATTTTAGATATTTTAAATTTTGCTTGAAACTTATTAGTAGTTAACTAGAACTAAAAAATGTGTATTAAAAAGGTATTAAAAACTAGATTAAGACCGCGCAATGCGCGGAGAGAAACTTCCGTAATAATAATTTAACATCCTACTATACATAAAATGAGAAGTCACCTTAGTAATTTTTACTTAGATGTTACTCATAGGTGAAGTTTATAATTAGTTCTTTTAATTTGATTGGTTTTTGGTATTTAAATTAAACTTTATTTAAACCAAGGTTTTAAAAGAAAACGAATCATAAAATTACCTAATCTAATATATGTTACCAAATAAACGATCAAACATATTAAATTTAAAAGAATTAGCACAATTGTTTTCTTGAACAATTGATTATCATAGATTACATTATATAAATTTATAATATATACATATTATACTACATAAACAATTATAAAAACGACTTTAAAAATATTAAATTTATAATAGATACAATAAATCATTGCTTGCAGAAAACTAATAAATAAAAACTGAATAAACAATCAAACAAGTTTTTAAAAGGAAACAAATCATAGAATTACCTAATCTAATATATGTTACCAAATAAACGATCAAACATCTTAAATTTAAAAGAATTAACACAATTGTTTTGTTGAACAATTTATTATCATAGATTACATTATATAAATTTATAACATATACATGTTATACTACATAAAAAATTATATGAACGACTTTAAAAATATTATTTTTATAATGGATACAATAAAGTGTGAATTAGCCAAATACACCTAATACATCTCAATTAGTGAATTGTACATGAGAGTTGACATTAATTGTATCTCTTATACACTTTAGGAGGCAATTGGATAAAAATAACCTTGCTTTAAGACAAAAGTTTCTATTTTCTATAGTGACATCGCTGACACCCTTGTCTCCTCACATGTTTTTTTTAAAATCAGTTTTATGGTTTTATTTCCCATTCTAATCTCTTTCTTTTATCAATCAAGCTTTTAGAAAGAAAAAAATTCAAATACAAAACTCGATTTATCATTGTCTTCACTAAGATTCAAAAAGAAAATTGATAAATTTTTACTAAGATTCACACAAAGTTTCAAAACCTATATTAACATCTCTGGTACATGTATTTGTTAAATACTAATACCGCTGTTAACATCTAAAATATTTATTAGCAGATAACGCCTTTGTTAACACCTATGGTACATGTATTTGTTAAAAGTTAACACCTCTGTTAGCATCTAAAAATATTTGTTAACACTTAACGGTTCTGTTAACACCTCTGTTAACATCTACAATATTTGTTAACATATTTTATGTTATATAACTAAACAATAGAAATTTCATAATAAAATTGTAAAACATTATTATTCTCTGATAAACAAAAAAATAGCTTGTTTCTTTAGGATCAATCTCATGAAAACACAGAAAAAGAAAACATATTTTATGTTATATAATTAAAAAATAGAAAATTTCATAATAAAATTGTAAAAAATTATTATTGTCTAATAAACAAAAAAATAGTTTGTTTCTGTAGGATCAATCTCATGAAAACACAGAAAGAGAAAAAAAAAAGTTTAGAGAAAAAATACTATAAAATAGAAAGAGAGTACGTAAGAAAAAAATTCATAAAAAAAATTTATATCTATAAAATAGACTAATAACATGACTTACACACATATGTTAGGTACAGCTCCTAAGTAAAGGTGAAATGGTCCAAAAAATAATTGTCTCACATCATGGACAAGTGGCTAATATAGACCTCCATTTGAGATGTATTGGCAAATAATTTCTACAATAAATCCTTGATTTTAGAAAAATAATAAATAGAAACTTAATAAACAATCAACCAAGTTTTTAAAAGGAAACGAATCATAGAATTACATAATCTAATATATGTTACCAAATAAACGATCAAACATCTTAAATTTAAAAGAATTAACTCAATTGTTTTGTTGAACAATTGATCATCATAGATTACATAATATAAATTTATAATGTAAATACATATTATAGTACATAAAAATTATATAAACGACTTTAAAAATATTATATTTATAATGGATACAATAAATCATTGATTTCAGAAAACTAATAAATAGAAACTTAATAAACAATCAAATAAATTTTTAAAAGGAAACGANTATAATGGATACAATAAATCATTGATTTCAGAAAACTAATAAATAGAAACTTAATAAACAATCAAATAAATTTTTAAAAGGAAACGAATCATATAATTACATAATCTAATATATGTTACCAAATAAACGATCAAACATCTTAAATTTAAAAGAATTAACACAATTGTTTTGTTGAACAATTGATCATCATAGATTACATTATAAATTTATAATATAAATATAAATACATATTATACTACATAAAAAATTATATAAATGACTTTAAAACATTATATTTATATTGGATACAATAAATCATTGATTGCAGAAAACTAATAAATAGAAGGGATTTTTGCAAATTTGACTCAAAACTCAAAGTCAAACACAAAACTAACTTTTCTTGTTTTTTGATTTTTCGTTTGTCTTATTCACCCCATCTATTCACATTATTTACGAAAATGCCATTACATTTTTTTTTTTTTTTTTTTTGAAAATTGTTTTTTTTTTACTCTCTCAACCTCATCATCTTCAAGTATTTACAAGATTGACATTGACATCAATACCCTAACTACCATGAACAACCAATTTGAAGCTCTTAATGCACCTTAAATCGATTTACACTCTCTCTTTCTCAATTGTTATGAACTAAAAACAAAATCTCTTTCACTTTGTCTCCATATTCATACAAAAAAACCAAGCTTTTGATTCAAAAAAATTTATGGTTGATAGAGCCATTTAAGCATACAATTCTTGGTGGGTTACTTTCATTTGATATTCTGGGAGGTTGGAAAAGACTTTGTGTGCTAAGAAAGTCAGTCATCTCACCTAGTTTAAGGTATGAAATTGATTTTTTTTCCAGATCTGTTCGCGTAGAAAACTTACTCGTAATTCTTCTAGATGAGCTGGACGACTTACTTCTAAGTCATCCAGTTGGACGACTTACTTCTAAGTCTTCCAGCTTTGTATGTTTAAAAAAAAAAAATCTGGACGACTTATAAGTAAGTCGTCTAGGAAAAATGGGTTAGTTTTGCAATTGACCGAATTGTGTCAGAATTTGACTTTTCCTGGACGACTTACCAGTAAGTCGTCTCCGGGAAAGTTAAAATTTCAATATTTATTAAATCTAGACGACTTACGGATAAGTCGTCTTAGGTTAGTTTTGTAATTAAAAAAAAGTTTAATTTTATTTTTTTCCAGAAGACTTAATTTAAAGTCGTCCAGTCGGACGACTTATTTTAAAGTCGTCTAGTCAGACGACTTATTCTAAAGTCGTCTGAGATAAGTAAAGTCATCCAGATTTTTTTCTGGTCAAACTTTCCTTATCTCGGACGACTTTCGAATAAGTCGTCATACTGGATGACTTTAAATTAAGTCTACTGGGAAAATTTAAATTCCAATTTTTATTTTTCAATTACAAAACTAACCTAAGACGACTTATCCGTAAGTCGTCTAGATTTAATAAAATATTGAAATTTTAACTTTCCCGCAGACGACTTACTGGTAAGTCGTCCAGAAAAAGTCAAATATCTGACACAATTCAGTCAAATGCAAAACTAGCCCGTTTTTCCTAGACGACTTACTTATAAGTCGTCTAGATTTTTTTTTAACATACAAAGCTGGACGACTTAGAAGTAAGTCGTCTCATTTAAATTGCAATTGCAAAAATGACCTGTCTGGAAGACTTACAATTAAGTCGTCTGGACGACTTACGGTTAAGTCGTCTGGACGACTTACTTGTATGTCGTCTGCGTCAATGACTAATAATTAAGTCATCTGGAAAGTCTTCCAGCTGGATGACTTTCCAGACGACTTAATTATTAGTCTTCTACTAAGTCGTCCACGCTTTATGAGTATGTATTAAGAATTTGTGTTAGTCTTCTTAGATGACTAATAATTAAATCATCTGGAAATTCTTCCAATTAGATGACTTTCTAGAAGACTTAATTATAAGTCTTCTACTAAGTCGTCCAGGCTTTATGAGAATGTATTAAGAATTTGTGTTAGTCTTCTCAGATGACTAATAATTAAGTCATCTGGAAAGTCTTCCAGCTAGATGACTTTCCAGACGACTTAATTATTAGTCTTCTACTAAGTAATCTAGGATTTATGAGTATGTATTAAGAATTTGTGCTAGTTTTCTTAGATGACTAATAATTAAGTCCTCTGGAAAATCTTCCAGCTAGATGACTTTCCAGATGACTTAATTATTAGTCTTCTACTGAGTCGTCCATGCTTTATGAGTATGTCTTAAGAATTTGTGTTAGTCTTTTCATATGTCTAATAATTAAGTCATCTGGAAAGTCTTCCAGCTGGATGACTTTCCAGACGACTTAATTATTAGTCTTCTACTAAGTCGTCCAGGCTTTATGAAATAATTTAGTCAAATCCAGTAATGTTTGATCTTCTGTGAACTTTAGTAAGTGTTTTTGGTTGAATAGAGTGATAAAAATATTTTTTGAATTACTTGTATTTTTAAAAGTGTTAAATAAATTCATGGTATGTAAATCTCATATTTTCAAAATATGTTTTATTCCTTAATTTTACTAAATTTGACTAAGTTTTTGAACACAACCTTGTAGAAAATGTAATATGCTTTAACACCAATGATGATTTGTTGGAAGAAAGGTTAAAATGCTTCTTAAAATGTTGTATCAATACGAGACTACCAAAATTCT